GGAGACCACCTGGGAGTGCGCGACCTCCTGGGTGAGGTATAGTCCGCTGACAGCCACGGTAAGTATCGGGGCCAGTAGCACGGCGACTGCAGTAGCCCCCACGGCACCTTGTCGTCGTAGGGTGGCCTTGAAGAATGAGACGAGTGTCGGGCTGGACAGGTGATTCTCCATGATGCTTCGTGGTGCAGTGACCCCCCCGCGTCGCAGGTCCAGGTAAGGCTGCAGCACGAGAGCCGAGAAGTGAATCGAGTCGAAGAAGATGCGCACTACTAGCATGATTACCGCGGGGATGTACACCCAAATATATCGGATGTATTCCCCGGACACAGTGCCCAGCCCGTTGTGTCGAGACGAGATCTGGTACGTTGTTTCTAGCCCAGCGATGACAAGCAGAGGCAGCGCGACTGTAATGATCCGCCAGGAGATGGAGACGGATATCGGCTCCCACCATTTCATAGGCCCGGAGGTGATTCGAGTCCGCATAATCTCACTAGCCGTCTGGTCAGTCGCGATAGTAAAGCTCAGACAATTGTGTTCGTTGGTGATTTGGGTGTGGTAGCGACGACCATTCAACTCCGACGCAATCTCCGTCCCGTTCTTACTCCGAAGCAGTCGCTCCTCCATGGCAGGGCTCCGCGCTAGAATGCTCGCCAGCCCGGAGATAGTGCCTGGATCTCGAGGCGTACAGCGAGCCGGTCGTAAGAAGCACAACGCTCCAGCGACGACAATCAAAACAGCCAATGTCGCCTCCATAAGTCGCACAGAAAGCTCTTTCACGAGCAATCGGTTGACATACGCCGAATACGTACCCTCGAAGGACGTATCCGACGAGGAGAGGAGATACTGCTTTGCCACCTGGGCCGCTATTGCCGCAAACATGGGTCGGGCTACACTCTCCAAGAGCGAGGTATTGAGCAAGTCGCGCATGGGATGCGGCGCGGTCAGATTTGCTATAATCGCGAATGCACTGGGGTAAGTACTGTTCGGGTCTGAAAGGTTGTATTCCGCAGTCTTCCAGCCTTTGGTTGAGGTATCGACATAGCCCAGCGTGTCAAGGATATCGGCTGCGGCGGTTAACGAGGACACAAATCCCACCCCTAAATCTGCTGGCGACACGTCTGCAAGGACTCTTTGGGTGGTGTGGTTCGAATTTGGGGGTGGGTCAATACTGACCACACTGTGGTTAGTCTGGCGTAGCGAGACAGAGCGTGGTGCAATGGAGTACAAAGGGCTGCAGACCAAGCTGTGGATTTCGGTCTTGTTGGCGGTCCAGTGCGCTGCAGCAACAACCACGCGAGGATCATCCTCTGCATCAACACAGCTAACCGAGAACACGTCTGCGTAATAGCCCCCGGCGGAGGAATAGCTCTTTTGGAAGCTGGGGAAACGATACCCACCCGCGCAGGACGAGGTACTGGTACTGAGGGTGATGTTCAGTCGAGTCTGCTCGCACCCGGACGAAGTGCAGCCCTCAGTCCAGTTGGCGACGGTTGCAACATGGCAGTTCAATCCCGCCGAGAAAACATCCACCGTTCCGGAGATTATCCCATCGTTACTGGTACCTATAGAAGTTAGGGCGTTGCTTGCTTTCGATTGGTCCATAGTATCACCGTACCGAGATTATTGCCACTGCTACTCGCCGTGAAAGGCTGAAAGGCATGTTCCTCGGTCGTGCCGACAGGGTAGGGCAACTCCTGCCAGCGGGCTCCAGCCACGACAGTCGCAGCACTCCCATCCACTAGACTCCCATTGTACCCCAGCCCTGCAAAGCGGGCTTGATGGTGAAGCTCAGCAGCCGCGTGCTCCATCCATACAGTCTGCAGCATGAACAAACCAGTCGAAGCGACCGTGAGAAGTTTGATCAGCAAGGTGCCTAAGATCGCCAGTACCACCGCCCAATCGCCGTGACGCATCGAGCGAAAAAGTGCGATCACGTTCCACTCTGAGACATAATCCAGCAGGAGGGATCGCGAGGCAGGTTGGGGGCCGGAGTGTGCCATCGCCCTCCAGGGCATGAGTTGCTTGGTGCGATACTCGACCTGGCCCCATAGTGCGGCTACGATCGTCAGGGCTATTCCCACAACCCTCTATCAGCAATGGCCCTCCCACTCGGTGCACATGAAAACTGCCAGAGCACCTACCGGCTGTCGGACCATACGTCCAGAGGTAATGATATTTGCTTTCGCTGGTGCCGAGACCTTGATTCCGGGCTGAGACAGAAGACAAGACCTCGATAACCACGATCATCGCGGCGAAGAGAAGTGCAAACGCGACCAATGTCGCCGAGCGAAGGATAGTCGGAGTCCAGGCTTGACGCCAGGGGTGAGCGTGGTGGTTCTCTCCATCTTGTGTGTGGTCGCTTTCCAAGGTAGCTGTCTCCTGAACTAAGGGGGTAAAGGTCTTTGGCTTGCGGATGAGGTTTGAGAACATCGTGATCGCATTTCTGCATTGCGCCTTTGGATAGAAGGAGAGTTGTTGGGGCAGGTCATAAACACGCACATCTTATAAGATGCGGGGGCTAGCATGCACCGCCTCAGTTAGCGCTTGCACAGGGATTGTGCCAAGACAAGGCTGAATGAAGGTTGCCGTGCCGGATTGTACGAGTAACAGAGGTGAACAGAATCAAGACCAGTTCTTATCTGATTGACCGTTTTAGCCGACTTGTTATTTTCACGCGGCGAGGCGATGTACGAAAGGTGGAAACTCTTGAGAACAATGATCTATGACTGGATGTGCGGGACGGATGAATTATCCAAGGCGACTGACTCTGCGGCAGGCATCTCCGACAGATGTACTAGACCTGAAAGAAAGATGGGGAGAAAAGGTCTCCACAGTATACTCATCGCTCCAGTGCGGCAAAGATCGTACCCCGAAATCTTTAGGAAAGACAAACCATCGATATAAAGCCCACCACTGAAATCAACGGTAACTTTTAGTACCGTCCCCGTCTTACTAGCAGGCCAGGTGATTGTCAGTTGATTCCATTTCCAGGGACTCTAGGGCAGCATATGAGGAGGTTTCCGGTTAGACGTAAAGGTTCTCGTGGTGAAAGGATGGGGGCGGGGTTGACATAAGAATTATCCAACACTGGGAGATCGGCATTATGTCTCTCGCGGGGAATCCATCGACGCAGCATTTTCTCTCCTCGACTCTCTTAGACGGTCGGTGTCACGAGGAGAATAAGAAGAAACAATAGGAAGAGAAAGAGAAAACGGGAGAAGATACAAAACTTGAAACAATTCCAAAGGGTTAGCTGGTAGTATGTCCCTGGGAAAAGACTACCAAACAGCCCCTGACAACCTTTCTCATCGGTAGTCAATTGATGAGAGTACAATCAAAACTAGGTGTGGAGTCAGTCACCTAGACAAGAAGAATGAGAGACCCTCATTTACCACCCCGATCACCTCAAGGAGCAAGAAGCACTTTAGCCGCGCGACTTGACGAAACCAGGAGACCCAAGAAATTATCAAGGTGATGGTGGCTTTTTCGCTTGCTGAATGTGACGAATCGCATAACAATACCGTAAGAGAAGCAAGTCATTGAGGTCCTTCTACTATGCTTAGACAGTTTTGACAGCTCGTGTCCGTCTAGCGCGACTTGTCTTCACAGGGGCACACTTGGCAGGAACTCCCAACTCCATTAGGCGACGGGCTAGCCATACCTCATCCAGAACTTGTCATGCATCTGAACAACAGAGCAATCGGGACCTGGACGCGGGCGCGCTAGAGTTGCTAGTATTGCTTTTCTTAGATTCACCTGACGCACAGAAGGCCCAAGTACCATGTGGATCCATCACATGGTAACATTAGAGCTGATTGTTTCCCGGCAGGAGGTCGGAGGATCAGAATATCACTCGAAAATGTAGTAGATTTTCTGGACGGGCTTGCTCTCACGACCGGGGCTTCTGAACCGCAGCGGCCATTTTGTTATACCCATCAGTCCTTCATAGCCCGCACAGACATTTCAAACACAAAAGGCGAATCAACTGGCTACAGAATGTTTAGTTTCTGGTGGGGTAGATGCAAAAGCTGGTGAGGGCCACCGCGCTTAGGATTGCCTGTCTCCTTTTCAGCTCCGGCTTGGTGATGGTTCGAGCGAGACCACCACAGCCATCAGACACATCACGCCGCAAGACCAAGGCTTCGTCAACATATTTTGCGACGCCATTGGCTTGATTGGAGAACTTAGTTTTGATGGCTCAAGCTTAGGGTAGGGGATTCCAAAATAATATGCCCATCTCGGTGTGATGGGGACTAGTAGGGTGAGGTAGATGGGACTTTCAGTCTCTCACGTCGGGGATTCTTTCGCACGGGAGTTCTGGCTGACGCGTTCATTCTGATGCCAGCTGAAGGGACTGGCGCACGCAGAACCCATGGCTGCCACATGGGCTGCTTGAACATGACACCGATTGGACGTACGTCTGTTGCCGCTCGGCTTGAGTCAACCTGTGCGGCCCCTCCGAAAAGAAGGCGGGATTCGGCGGAAGCTGAAGAGGGCAGTGGGCGAAGCATTGATAACGCGGTAAGAACAAGCGATGAGCGACAGGTGAGGGACTGAAGTATGCTGAGGGTGGAGGCACGTATACAACAAACCATGGGGTAATTCCAACCGACGAGCCCTAATCCCGCCACCCCAAGTTCCTGCATCCACTCCGTTCCTCAGCTTCCACCAGCTGGAAGATCACAGCTGAGCAAGAATGGTCAGACCAGAGCAACAATCAATGTGCTCAGCTGAAAAAAAAAGAACATGACTCTGTTCACTCAGATCAGCGAAACCGCAATCACTTCAGCATGTATAAAGGGCCCAACCAATCCACCCAGATGCCAGTAGACTCAGCAGCGAACATTTCATATCTTCACCACACTATTACACCATTCTTCTGGAATTCACCAAGTCTTGTGTTTTTTTGATCTTTCGACCACAATCTTTATCCCTTCCTTTCCTTACACGACACAAATCTCTTTGAAGTCCTTTCTTTCGAGCTCATTCTCATCGACGCTATGGCCCCCGCTATTTTGAACGAACCTGAGGTCCCTATTACTCCTCTTCCCATCATCAAGGAGCTTAGCGGGGCCACCAACTCAGCCAAAGGCGTTGACAGCTTGACCACAGCCCTGACCAAACTCAATGGCAATGGCGCCGTCAAGGCGCCCACCAACGGCCATTCCAACGGCAAGACAGATGGTTTCAGCGACGGTTTGGACGTCGCCAAACCAATCTGCTTTTTCCCCACTGAGGAGGGAAGTTCAGATGTGCTGAGGGTATTGGACTACAACCCGGCAATGCTGAATGATGCGTCCGCCATTGAGTGGATTGCAGGCCAGCTTCATAAGGCCAACATTGTCAATAGCCACCAGCTTCACAAGCTGGAGGTTCATCATGTTGAGACAGAGCATGTGCAGGATGCCGAATATATGCAAGATATCCTCGAGCTCAAGCGGACGAAGCACACCTCCGATGAGAGTTATATTAAACTTCGGACCAGTATGACCAAGCACCTTCGGAAGGCCCAGGCCGACTCGGAGGGCCTCATGGTGACCATCGCCAAGCTGTCCGACGAGTTGAGTCTGGCGAAGCGGGCCGAGGCACTCGCCAAAGCCGACAGCAAGGCAGCGCACGCACTCCATCAGCAACTTAAGGCAGAAATCGAGACCGTGCGCCACGCGTTGACCCACGCTCGCGAGCAGCTGATCAAGCTGGTCAAGGAGCGGGATGATGCGGTGCTGGAGTCCGACAAAGCGGAGGGACTCCTCAATATCCGGGATGCAGCGGTTGCGCGGCTCGACGCCGAGGTGGAGCGGCTGGTGAGCCAGGTCGATTCCTTGCGAGTGAAACTCTCCGATGCTATCAAGGCCAGAAATGCCGCAGCGCTCGACGAGCTCAAGACGCGTCAGCAACTGACGCGCGAGCAAGACACTTGTTCGACCTTAAGAAAGAGGGTCGCGGAACTGGAACACAAGCACGAGGCAAAGGCGGAATCCATCAGGGGTCTGGAAGCTACAATCCACGAGCTCAGGGCCCAGCTCACCCACGCCAGGACGAAGGTGAAGGAGGCATTGGAGGATAAGGAGGGCCTCAAAACCAGATTCCGCGAGCTGGAGGATCAAATCCGCGATGCTGTGGAGGCGGCAAGTGCCGCCAATGACACTTTGGACGTGGCCAAGAAGCAGCTCGAAGAGGCTATTTCTACTCGAGAGCACGCGGAGGAGCAACGCACTGCGGCTGAGATCGCCTGGACTCGCGCCGAGCTGGAGAAGCAGGATGCGGAAAGCAGGCACCGAGCCATCCGAGAGCAGTTCATGAAGCTCGAGGCGGATTACGCGCAAGAGCAGCGCGAGAAGGCGACCCTGAAGGAGAAGCTTTCCAAGGCGGAACAACGCGCAGAGTTAGCTTGCCACTTCACGCAGGAGGCAATCGAATGGGGTCAAGCGCTCAATCTTACCAACCATGAACTGTTCGAGCAGTACAAGAAATCCTATAATGAGAAAGTCCAGGCAATTGAGCTGCGGTTTGCGGAAGGGCGTGAGAGAGCCGACTGGCAGGAACAAGCCAGACTAGCCCAGGCTAAGGTCCGGGAGCTGACCGAGGCCTTCTTCAGTGTCTCGAAGCAGAAGGACCGTGCTCAGAACGTCTTGGATGAATTCCAGAAACAATACAATCAGCTCAAGGAGGGACACCTCCACGAACAGCTGGGATCCCAAAACAAAATCGACCATCTCCAGAAGGAGCGAATGAGGTGGGAGAAGGTGAGATCGAAGCTGAACACCGAGATCGATATGGCCAAGATCCAAGTTGAAAAAGCGGAGGCGGCGAAGATGCAGGCCGAGGTGGCGCGTCAGAAGGCAGAGGCGGAGTCGGCGGAGGAGGCGAGGCAGCATGAGAAGGAGTTGGAGGAGGCGAAGGCGCGAAATCAGAGAATGGCGAGCGGGTGGGAAGAAATCAACCGCGGCAATAAGGCCCGGATCGAGGAGCTCTTGAAGAAGACTGAAGAGAAAGAGGCGACGATCAAGGAGCTCGGGAAGGACATTGCCGACATACAGAAAGTCTTGAGCCACGGCCACAGCTTCGGAAAGATCGCCATTCACGACATCTTCCTGGGCGGCCAGCGAGTGCAAGACGATTCGATCTACCAGACAATCGGGAAGCACTATGGATCCGTGGAGAAGCTTCCCCTGGTGCGATGCTTCCCGGATGAGATGGACAAGAAGAAGAAGTTGGCGGTTGTGTACACTGTCAAGGGAGAGGAAATTGCTCGGACGGTGGAGGTTGGAGTGAATGAAGGATTGAAGTTCCCGGCCAGCAGCAGCACTACTACTGCTGCTCCTGCCACCAAGTCCACTCCTGCCACTCCTGCTACTGCCACCCCGACTGCTACTGCCACCACTGCTGCCACCGCCAAAACCCCCGCTAAGGCCACACCCGTTGCTGCAGCCCCGACTACCTCTCCAACTGCTTGAATGTTCCACCTCCACCTCCATGACTGTCACTCATCACGATCACTCACTGGCAACCGCCCTTTTCCCTTATCTGGCTGATGCGTTTTTGTATTCCATCTCGCGCCTCCCTTAACTGCATACATTCTTTGCTTTTTCCTACTCATTAATTATCTTTGTGTGTTGGATTTGTGGAATTTCTAATGAAAATCTATCAAACTTCTACATTTGCATGTAAGTCAGCTGTAAAAGGCAGGGAAACTAATACAAAAGCGAAAGAATCAAAGGGAATCATGTTCCTGTTTTTCATCAGCAGTCAGTGAGCTGACTGCTTTGGGGATCCTGCCCCAGATCATCAGAATGATCAAGCTGGCACCCGCGACCCCGACCCCGAACCAGAAAGTGGCCTTATAGCTTTCTGCTAATCCCCTGTTCTTGACCACGGCGGACTGAATGATGTCGGTGAAACCGAGGACGAAGGCGACTCCAAGCTGCAGCACGGAATTCAACACGCCCCCGGCCAGTCCCTGCTGCGAAGACGGGACGGTGGTCGTGATGAACACTGTCATCAGGATCGTTGACAGGTCGATGCCAATCGTGCTGAGAATAGCGGAGGGGAAGATCCATGCCCAGTAGCTTCCTCCGCCCGCGGGGATGAGAGCGAGAAGGAGTTGCGATCCCACGGCGGCGAGCCCGGAGACGATCATCAGAACATGCCCAGGGACGAGATGTAAGATGTACCCTTCAATGACGCTGACGACCAGTCCCACGACGCCAATCGGGATGTACCACACGACGACCTGAAGGGGCGACGCTGACAGGACGTTTTGGAAGTACAGTGAGCCATTGACGGAGAAAATGCCCCAGGTCCCGTAGAGCAGGAGGAGGGCAATGAGTAAAGGGGTCATGGATTTCACGGCGAAGAGGGACGCAGGCAAGAGTGGATCCGAGACAACATGCTGTTCGACGTACCACGTCCCGGCCAGAAACAGTATGCCCAGGAGGAAGGTCGCCAGGACATACGGCGTTTTCCATCCCGAGGGCGCATGTGCGGATTGCGTGATCGCGAAAATCGTGAGGACGAGTCCGCACACGATGCCAGCGCCACCGACATAATCCATTTTCACTTGCCCACGGGAGTCGTTGGCCAGAGCCGAGTACGGCATCGCACAGATTGCTGTGGCGAGCGTGATCGCTGCCAGGGCAGCGCCGATCCAGAAGTAGTAACTCCAGCGTAAAGATTGACCCACGACCCCGGCAATGGCAATACCACCAAAGAAGCCTAGAACGCCCGCGGTGCCATAGATGGCGAAGACGAGATTCTTGCGAGGCCCGGGCCGGTAGAGGTAGCCTATGATCATGACCCCATTCGGGAGAAAGGCAGCAGCTCCCAGGCCCTGAAGTGCTCGACATATGTTTAACATGACAGCGCCGGAACTGAAACCTGCGACCACGCTCCATATAAGAAGCCATGCAAGGCCCGCGAAAAAGAGCGGGTATCCTCCCCAGATATCACCCAGACGGCCAAAGATGAGCAACGTGCTCGAGACCACCAGCGAGAAGGCAGTCGCGGGCCATACCTGCGAAGCCTGGGGAATCTTCAGGTCTTGGGCGAGGGGTGGCAAGATGACCGCGAAGCCTGAGACGAAGAACTCGGTCAAGAACTGGGACATCACTATGCCAAACAGACAGCAGAGCTCTGTCCATGGATTGGGAAACGCAGATGGACGTTCACGGCTAAGCCGCTCGATTCGAGCAGATGGTGATTCATCCCGTGGGATTTCCGGCATGTTTGACTGAGAGGTGCTTTTCGACGGCGTTCTCAGAGCTCCGCGTATATCCTCGATAGCCATGGTGTGAACTTTCAATGTTTCTGTAGGTTGAAGGTTGCAAGGGATTGCTCTCTGAGAAAAAGTCCTTCAGGGCCAGAAAGATCCGGGATGCGATTGAGATTTGAAGTAGCCCGATAGCAAGTGACCGCCGCAACGATTGTGATGTCCAGGGTCTTGTGAATCACTAGCTCTGCGATTACGTGCTTGAAATGAGTTGAAGCAAGATAGAATAGAGTTTTTTGTGTCAGAAATGACTAAAAGCATGGTCTGCTTCCTTGATACAACTGCATATAGTACTACGTAGTTTGATCAAGCCCTTACCAATGTTGAGCCAAACGATCGTTCTGATACGTCTGGCTCTCGGAAGACATCTCCACTAGAAACTTCCAAACAAGGCTGCCAAGATACTAGCTCCCGCGGCCACCTAGAGACTTTAAAAAAGGCAGGGGCAAAGGAGACTTGTGATTGGTTATTCAGTTATTCGATGTTCCCACGGCGACCATATGCTTTATAAGCCTACGTAGTTAGCGTATAGTTGAATACGTAGTAGTGATATATAATCACGTATGAGCAAAGATAAGAATTCTCCCTTGGGAACTGACGCTACACATCACGCTGGTCTGCCTTGAGCCTGTACGATGAGTGAAATTTGACGTCCACCAAGCGAGAGTCTATACCGGCTGCTAGCGCAAAGATCCTGGCTCCAACAAAACATTCAGTCCCAGCATCACAGTAAGGGCTTTTGCAATCTTGCCGTCTTGCAAGCTCTACTATCACTCTACTGACTTTGAAACTGAGCAGGAAATGCCACCAGTCATCCATTGTGTTCGCCATGGGGAAGGCTTTCATAATGTCGGTGGCGGTTGCTATACCATTCCTGACCCGCGTTTGTCACTCACTGGGGAGAATCAATGCGAATCACTCCGTGAAGGCGCCTTCCGTAATCAGTCGGGAATCTCCCTTATCTTGTCGTCACCGATGTGCCGAGCCCTTCAAACTGCAGCTCTGGTATTCCAGCCAGCTCTGACGTCGGCCCTCCAATCCGAAAGGATTCTCGCCTACCCTGACGCTCAAGAAACGTCAAGTGACCCGTGCGACACTGGCTCGGACCCAGAAATCCTCAGACGCATCGTGGGAAAAGAGAAATGGCCGGTGGACCTCTCTTTGGTGAAAGATGACTGGAACCAGAAGAAGGCTGGAGCTCGCTACAGTCCGAGCAACGATGCGATCCGTGCTCGCGCCCGCGATGCTCGGCTGTTTTTGCGGGCGAAATTACGGGAGCTGGTTTCCAATGGGAAGGACGATGCGGAGATTGTTCTCGTGTCACACGGTGGATTTCTGCATTATCTTACGGCCGACTGGGAGGATGCATATCGCCACCCGGGTACTGGATGGGACAATTGCGAGACGCGTGCTTATGTATTCGAAAGTGACTTTACGTCCGATCACGATGAAGAGGCCTGGTTGATTGAAACAAGAGAGAGTCGGTGGAGGCGTGGCAAAGAACATCCGATGTATGGAAAGGAGGTTCAGGGCAAGCTTTTCACTACAGCGATGGAGCGTTGGCAGGGCCAAGGGCTGCAACGACCAGACGAAGTAGATCTGGACTGGAAGGTTAGATAGATAGAAAGACCTGTATTTTACTCAGGGCCCACAAGATGCAAAAGACATATGCCTGTGCGCAATCTCAGGTAGGAAGGCTCAATTGAGTGCCCATCATACGCAGATCACGTACATGCATCTTTTTCTGGGGGCGTTGCAAATGTAAACATATGTGGCTCTTGGAGTTCTTTTGCCATTGTCTAGATCCTCACTCACTGTTGCAGGAGATGGTAAAACAACATTTCCCTTCTCTTCTGTTCTTTTTTTTTTTCGGAACAAGAGACTGTGCGAGCAAGTTTCAGAAGAGCGGTTCATAGAAAATGTTGACATCGGTGAATATGGATCTCAGAACAACTTAAGGTAATTGGAGCATGAGATGTTGAGAAGCAGGCCTGTGCGTCACTCGTTCCACAAGTCGTCTGACTACTATATATCGCGGCCTTGCTGATGATTGGTTTACAGACTCCTTTAATCACCTACATCTATAACGCAGCCTGATTGACCTCACATATGGTAATTCTGCTTATCAGCCAGCTTCCTGTTTGCTACTATCGTGGTGATCGATCCCCTTCTGCGTGCTATGAGTATCCCACCCGCCTGTGGGCGATGATGTCATCCTTTGTAGTTATTTATCTGGATGTTCAATATAAACCCCCTTGGCTTACCAATGTACAATTCAAAACTGGTCTACTACTTATACTGCAGCGGAGATCACGCAAGTCCCCTCAGCAGACTTCTCCATAGTGTCACAACTCTGCACGATAGCCTTGCCTTGGTTCCTCCGACCTTGCCCTTAACAGCACCATTCAGCAGCACAATTCACCATGTCAACTTCCTCCACCTCCACTACCAACCGCTCCCCGGACCCCATCGTCGTCTCTGGAAGCTGCTACTGTCAACGAACCACCTACGCCACAACCGCCCCCTTACACGGGCTAACATACTGCTACTGCCGCATGTGCCGCCTCCTGCACGGCGCTCCCTTCGCAGCATTCACGAACGTGGAGTTGTCTCATTTCCACTGGACCCGGAGCGACCGTCTGGTCGAGATCAATCTGAGCCAGCATGCCACTCGCACGATCTGTGGTGACTGCCGCAGTCCCATGACGATGGTCTACCATGTCAAATCACACGAGGTGGGCATTGTGGCTGTTACGGTTGATGAGAGGAACTCTCAAGGCAAGGTGCCGGAGACGGTTGGGGAGCATATCTTTTTGGAATCCAAGCCTGCTTGGTTTGTTATCCCGGAGGATGGCGGGGAACGGAGTATGGGGATTCTGGAGAGGATGAGGGGGGTGGTACCGGAAGGGTTATAGGCACTTTGGTCGATCTCAGAGTCAGAAAAATGCAGATCCTCGAGGCAGGTGATGTAGTAGGGATTGTTTCATCTTACGAATGCCTCGTATCTATGTAGACTTCAGATTCAATACCGAGAACTCCGTAGCCCAGACCCAAACCAGACCCACCCCCGATGTGGAAACCCGGGACTTGCGTCTTGGCTTCCTTCTTAGGAATAGTGCGAGCTACCGATGATCGAACTGGTTATGTATGGGTAGTAGTAACTTATGGGTAGGTGCAAAACTTAGCCGGAGAACTCAAACTCTCACTTTTCTTACAACTCGACCACCAAAGACTTCTGGATTTCAATGAGTATGAATGGCGCTGCTGTGGATTGTGCCGATGTGCCATGTTGGACTTGTCGTCGCCAGCGCCTCAAGTGCGACCGAGCCCTCCCGCACTGTGGCAAATGCACATCTTCGCAGCGACCCTGTCTGGGATACAGCAAAGACAAGCCCCTGCGATGGACCGACAGTGTGGCAAGCCGCGGCAAATTAACGGGCAAGAAACTGCCACGTCGAGAGCAACACCTCTCACTCAGCAGAGTGCTGAATGACCCCGGCTTGCAGGATTTGTCGCCGTCAATGCGAGACTATATTGCTTATTGTAAGTTGAGTGCCTGAGCCCAGTGAGTCCTGGACTGATTGAAGGTCAGTTGAGCAACAGTGCTGTCAGGAGTGGGTGCTATATGATTTCGAGGGCGCAAATCTGTTCAAGGAGTCCATCCGATTCATTCCCTCCTGCCCGGCATTATGCCACGCGGTGGTGTCCGTGGCAGCTCTCCATCTAACCCTCCGAATTGCATCGGCTCAATGCAACGAAGGGACGATGGCATACAAGCCAAATCAGCATGAGGCACAAGTATCACAGTCGGTGGATCAGGTGCGCCAGACGTACCAGATCCCAGCATATCACGATGCTCTCTACCACAAACAGCGAACTCTCAGGTTCTTGAGAAGCGAAGCATATGCGGGAGAATCCTGTAATCCGGACGGTGTCGTTGCATCCGTGATAATGTCCATATGGTTTGAGCTCATGGATTCGGGACGAGACACCTGGCGATACCATCTTCGTGGACTGAGAGAAGTGATGCCAAAACGCACCTTATCCCTCGCGCCCTCTAGGGAGGGAGCACCGGCCGCCGACTTGCCTCAAATGGCCGAATCTTTTGACACAAGCTACGCCGTGTAAGTAGAGTCCAGCCTAGTCTGGCCAAGCCGGGGTCACTAATTGCATGTTCCAGTTTGGAAATCATAGGGTCGACGTTTGTGAAAACCAAACAGCCTTGGCAGCCGCTCTTCTCGAGGTCCCCTAATTTCGACATCTTGAAGCGCTGTGAGTCCCAGACATGGACCGGGTGCCCTTCGCCTCTTCTCTACGTGATCTCCCTCGCCAATGCGGCTGCTTCAGGATCTCACGAAGCGCCACCGGATTTATTTGCCCACATTTTCTCTCATCTGCACAACTTCTCTCCGATGCATTGGGCAGTCGCGGATGCGGAAACCCACCACATGAAACCGAGATATCAACTTGCCTGCGTGTGGCACGCGGCAGTCGAGATGTACGCGCTGCAAGTTCTCCCCGTCCCCTTCGAAAGCGATGTGTTCAAGAGCGCAGGGAGAGCCAACAACTCACTGGATTCGGCCCTTCACCATCTCAAATCCGTGGATCCGGCGGATGTCCATCTCAAAGGACTCCTGTGGCCTTCCTTTGTCATTGGCGCCGAGGCGCAAACCATGTCTCAAAGGGCAGTCATCACTGATGTGCTAGAAATTCTGTGGACACTGTGGCGCTGTCACAATGTGACGAATGCCTTGAAAGTGCTTGAGAAGATCTGGGCCCGTCGAGCTACGGAAGGGTCATCTGGACGTTGGATCAAATACGTCTATGAGTGGGGTGAAGATTGGATGTTCATATAGTCAGTCATAGCTATTACATTGCCTTGACATCCGGACTTTCTATCCTAGGCAACCATCCCTACACAGGCACTCCACATGCTCTGAACGAATGTGTTCTGGCACCATCGACGAGAGCTTTTTAGATGGAAAGCCATCATCTTGAATGATACGAACAGCAAGAGGCTGATGTCACAGTCGTCAAGACCGGCCAAGCGCCCGGAGTCAAGATTTGCATTTGTCGTACCGCAGACCATTTGTAGGGGCATGCATACATCTTGGCCAAGGCTGGTTGGTAGCTGGTTGCTGATAAAGCGCAAACGGCAAAGGTTCTAACCCATCTGCAACATCGAGTCACGAGGTGCCTAACCTGCGGCCGTACTTAACCCGGGGGGCGGCCACGGAAGGAGTTAAGAAGACCCGACAGCTCTTGAACTCGAAATTTCCAAAGCTGTAGCAATCACGAAAACGGTTGGTTCGACAACTGCAACGACGACCCCCCATCCACCACCAAAGTATGGCCATTGATATAGCTAGCCGCCGGCGACGCCAGAAACACCACCGCATCCGCCACCTCCTCCGGGTCCGCCAGCCGTCGCATGGGCAGGTCCCCCAGCATCGCCGCCTTGACGGCCGGCGCCTGGTCCAGAAACTGCTCCATCATCGGTCCGGACACGTACGAGGGCGCCACGGCATTGAGTCGGATCCCGTTGCCCGCGTTCTCAAGGGCTGGGGTTCCAGATCAATCAGTGTCAGCACCAACACGAGAAAGAGATACATTTCGAAAGAGGGAACCCTCACCAGCTGTCTGAACCAACCCTTTCACCGCGTGTTTGGCGGCAATGTAATTGCCGACTCCCAAGAACGCCCCCTCCGAGGCCAGCGAGGTTAAGATCACGATGGAGCCCCGGGCTGGCTTTCTTCGCCTTCCGGCGGTAATCGACTCGATCGGTTTCTGGCTGGCCATGGCCCGGATCACCTCGCGGACGACCAGGAAGCACCCGATATTGTGCACCTCGTCCATGCTTCGATACGCTTCTAGGCTCATGTCGCTAATCGCGGTCTGGTTGGCAGCGGGGGTCTTTTGGTTTTTTTTGGTCGCGAGTGATATGTGGTTAGCTAGTAGTCAATCATGATTTCGCACATGGAACAGCAAATATGAGGAGTTCGGCTAACCCCGGCAGTCGTTACGCAGATATCGATGCGGCCATACCGGTCCTTCGTCTTGGCGACCACCTCTTGCACTTGCGCCTCATCGCGCACGTCCACCTGGTAAGCGGTCGCCTCGTAGGCTGGTCGTCGCTCCGCGAAGACCTCGTAGCTGGACTCGGCGGTTTCTTGGGCGTGAGCGAGATCGATGTCGGCGCAGACGAGAGTGGTGAGGCCCTGCGCGACCAGCGTGTGGGCGACTGCGCGCCCAATGCCATTTCCTGTGATCTGGTTTAGTTTCGATCCATGGTCATCGAAAAGGAGGACGTATGTACCAGCACCAAAGACCAGCGCGACACCTTCGACCTGCATATTGGGGGGCTATGGGCTATGTAGAGTAAATTGATTTTTTTTGGTGTTGAGTGGTGAGTATGGGATTTAAGCAGATTGGTCAGTTGATTGACTCGCCGACTTTCATTATAGTTGAACACATATTCAAGACTCTTACCTACGAGGTACGTACTTTTGCAGTCCCAAATCATTCAATGCGTTGAGGCTCTAGCGTGACTGTAATGGGGTCATGCATGGTAAGTGCATGGTAAGTTACTGTACGTATTTTTCACATACTGTTAGCGCGTACGCCGTCCCGTTAGCGCTGAGCGTTAGTGCTTACGGTGTCTAAGAACTTATAAGGATCAACCGGAGACTTGCTGGAATCGAATAAGACTGGGATTGAGGGGTTAGCCGTGGCAGCGGAGCTTCCCATTGTTGGTCATTGCATGATACGGCCAGATATCAATGCTGCGAGCGAGCCAATTGATCCTAGTCTCCAAGTCTCCAAGTCATCGTTTTTGTTGCCCGCCATTGCACTCAGGGCTATTTCAACTCCCTGCCATGGCCAGCAGCAGCAGCAGCCGTCGCCACTCCTCATCACCCAGCAATCACATTCTCTCATCGCTTCAATCATGCCGTGGACTGCAGCCAAGGACTCGCCTAACACCTTCACACGGCCCCTAGGCCCCAATGAGACTTTTATCAAGTTAGTCAGTGACCCTGGCCACCCCCTGGGTCGGGAACACTGGGCCGTCAACTACACCGTCGCCATCCAACCTCATGGGGATTCTGCGACCGCATATCTTCTCCCGCCCCTGATCCGCTACAGTTGGTTGCATCTGCGCTTCCAGCACCCAAGTCTGGCTGCGCATCCCGACGCCTCCAACGCCAACCTCGTCTACACGGTGCCTGATTCGGCCGATGCGCTTAGCCAATGGGCCTCCGAGACCTTCTCCGTCGAGGCCGACGCCCAGTGCGCCGACGATGTAATACGTCGCATTGCCCCAGCTCCGGACGCTCGACTGTACTACATCCCCAAAACCGGTGAACTACTCCTGCACAGCGCACACTGGCGGATGGACGGAGTGGGCGGCCTCCTTCTTTTGGGTCAACTGGTGGACCTGATGGCCTCGCACTGCGGAGAGGAGGAGGAGAAGAAGAAGAAGAAGAAGCAGCTGCGGCCCGAAGACGCGTTTGAGGCCTTCTCCTGGGGATCGGAGGTAGAGCGGCTTGCGCCCCCCGTGGAGGAAGCGGGCAACATGCCCCTCTCGGCGACGGAGGAGCAAAAGGCCATTGCCCACGGGGCGGTGGGGACGTTTGCGCTGGCGGCCGGGGCGATGGGGGTGCCGTATCTGGGGGACGGTTCGACGGTACCCTCGGGTACGCGGGCCGCCGAGCTGCGCTGCTCGCCCGCCATCACCGCCGCCGCCGTGGCCGCTGCCAAAGCCCGCGGGGTCAGCATCACCGCGGCGGTGCATGCCAGTCTCGCCGCCGTCAACTTGCGCCGCGCCATCGCCGACCACCGCCACCAGGGCCGCCACTACACCAGCACCATCAAACAGTCGCTGCGCCCGTACCTGCCCCCGCCTTACTCAACCCCGGCCATGGCCGCCGCGCTATTCACCTCCGGCTGGTTGGCCCGCGTGGACCCTGCCTCCAACACCTGGGAGGAGATGGCCCGCAACTACCAGGCCGAGTACCAGAAAGGGATCAGTAGCGATTATCTTCAGGGCCACCGCGAGTATGCCTCCACCTTGGTCGAGGTCATTCGCAACCTGCCCACGCCAGAGGAGCCTCCCAGCGATATCGATATCAGCAGCATGGGCATCATGGAACAATATCTGCAGCGCGAGTATGGCATCCCTGGGCGTGGGTTCAGTATCACCCATGCCGGAGTCGGAGTGGAAATGCTGTCGCGCCAGGGCGTGGTCTTTGTCTGGACGTTCCGGGATCAATTGACCCTTCGGCTGGTGTACAACGAGGCCTTCCACCCCCCTGAACAGATGACGGAGTTCTTGAAGGACGTGCAGGCGGACCTGTTGACGCAATTGCAAGTGGCGGAGTAGATGTTGAGAGAGCAAAACAGAGAATGCGATCGGTAGAAGAGTGTGATATGTGGGAAGAAGAAGGTATAAACCACCAACTTACTATCTCTCAGCCATAGTAGCCATAGTAGCCAGTAGCCGTCAGCATAAAACGATTAGTAGTATGAATTCAATGATAACAGCTTACTACCTTGGACTGAAGATATACTCTCTACCATGATTATTCATGACAACACGGCCATGAACCCCAAGTTAAGAGATCGGGGGAAAGATTGCTACAAGATTGCTAAAGGACATGAGGATGCAGACATCTCCAGAATTCAGGAGGAGGAGGGGAAGGCGAGATCGGGTCGGATCCGCAGCCCCTTCCCCAACATGGCAATCCTCAAGGCCTCTCGAGCCAGGCTGCTCACCGCTCGCCACGCCCATGTTGTTTGTTCTTCGGCCAGATATCCTCACGCAGCTGACTTCATCACTCATCCACGTCCCCCGACCAAAGCCGCATCTTACTAGAGCCGCCATAGTGCTTGAAACGCTCCTTCGCCTTTTGCCAAGGGTCTTCGAAATTGGCTTAATCGAAGGCGTTTCCGATCGGTACGAACAGGAACTTGTGCTGTACTGTAGTTGCCAGCTGCCAAGCCATTTCGCCGCTGACCTGCTAGTCTGCTAGTATAGGTATTCATATCTAGATACGACCTGACGAGTATCACCGTTCCGCCAAAGAGAATGTCAAAACATCGAACCAGCCGATGGTTCGCTCCAAGGATTGCAGATTCTGTCACAACCCCCAACAAAAAGGCAGAGGCAATCTCCGCATTCAGACACTATCTCGTGTTGCTTCGAAGGTAGTGTTCACATAAATGTGATGCCGGCTATCTTTGGGGGTTCTCTGTGGGCCACCGCTGTCCAGGAGGATGGCCTCTCGATCTACTGCTTCTGCTACTTCCCCGAGAGGATGGAATGATCGTTTGCCACTCAGCAACTCCGCCGTATTGCTTGGCTTGCTGGCGGATGATGATAATGAGAAGGCACTGTTCCGGAGCGGCTGTGTTCGTCCGCTCCTTGCGAGCCAGCGACGCCCCAGATCCGTGATATTCGGGAGACAGACCGACATGAGCGAGATCGGGCCTTCACACTGCACCCAACAGATATATTCGATGGTGGTCCAGGTGAGATCGGCTTCTAGGGCCGATCCCGCCTTGAGAAGAGTGATGAGCCGACCGACAGATACGACGACCACTCTAAGAGCACACACGGCCATTGTTAGACCAACTGAAAACTTTCTCCCTTCTTCTGACAAAGGGGAGGGAGCACTCACGAGTACCCACAAATGAAAAGGCCGATGAGCATGGCCTTCTTCGCCCGAGTCATATGCAACGACCAGAGCAGAGGCAGCGGGATCAGCAGGATAATCAAATCCAGGATGGCACTCGGGGCCGCGGTCCCCGTGAAGAACTTCCACTGCGTGACGCATTTCGAACCGGCCACGGCTTCCCACGAGGCTCGTACGGGTGTACACTGAAAGGCCGTGGCCAGCCACGCCCCGATCAGCCAGAAGACGCACAGGGCACCCACCGCTGCGAGTGTCGGGCGGACCCAGGGGCCTCCGCCCCGTTGGAAGATCCGATGGTAGAAGCAGAGCACCGATAACTTGGGGAAGGTAATGCTGGCATCGTACAGGAAGGCGGCCGCGAAGATGATCTTGGGACCCGCGAGTTGATGGCTGACGGGTAATGTGGCGATATGACGACCCAACCCCAGGGAGATCCAGTAGAAGATAAGGGACGATTCGGCAATAATGAAGGGCTAGAACGATTCAAGGGGTCGGTCAGTTACTCAGCTGATATGTCCAATCTTTCTTTCGTGGAAAATGGGGAGGACGGCCCGCACCAAAGTCAGGATGGCAAAGGCATCATCATAACCAAACCTGTGAGTGTGAGAGCTCCAGATGGACCAGCAGCGGAGGGCGACCGAGGCTATAGCTAATGTGAGCATTACCACACAGAAGGCAATGAGCCCCGGTTGCTGGTTGCCATCGGTGTCTGCAGAAGACATCGTATGTTGTCTACCGTCTCTCTCTCTCTCTCTCTCGGATTGGAAGGATTGGAAGGGAGCTCATAAACCGAAGCCATTCGACGAAAAAAGGGGGAAGCCGATCAGAAATCAGCCTGACTGAACATGGCCATCCTGTTTCGAGACTACTACTTAATTAACCCTCCCATGTAGGGGGGCAGAAGGCGAGGCTCTGGCACTCTGCAGGATTAGTGCCGTGGCATGGCTGCATGATTTAATCTATCTAACATTGGGGGCGGAAAGATTTCGTTACACAAGGTAATTTATTTATCCCCTGCCCCGAGTGCAAGAGAATGAGGGAAGGGTATCATCAAATGTGGACTTTTGGCCATAGGTGTTCTTTCCAGCATCTGGAACTTAATTGTATCTGATCATTTCTGATAAAACAACCGACTGGAAAAGGTTTATGGCAAAATGAAATGTATATGGCTATAGGAATTACCTTGAAAGGTACAGTAATTCAAGCCCATCTGGGCGACTTTCGGAAGGGTCACGGGTAACATTAAGTAAATGTAGACTTTACAAGTTAAAATGAAACCCCTCACTCACACTACACTAGCTTGACAATAGATACAGACAGTAACCTCGGCTCGAGCGAATCCCTGTCAGAACAGCAGTCAAGGACCCACTCACCTATCACGTTGAACTGTGCTGGCAAAACGCACGACCAGCACGGGCTAGATACTCATAGTCAACTTAGACTCAGACCACATCGGCATCCGAAAGTCTGCTCCGCCACCCGCGACGGGAGAGGCGGGACCCCGGCTAGGGCTAGAGTTCCCGTACTGTCACGGGTAATCACCTTACTTGCCTAGTACGTTACAGTACGATACATTCCACTGGCACATAGACTACAGGGTACCTAAGGTAACTTAGTGAGTGACCAATCCGTGAGACAATTTTACTTAGTAGTGCCGCTGGCAAACCATCCGTGATCCTCACGCAACTTGGAATCCACACTCGCCCTTCCTCTCTGTCCTCCGCCTCCCTCCTCGTGTTTGCTACGTTCCCACATTTCGGCCCCCTCATCTTGGCTATCGCCGCTGGCCTCATGCTAACGAGTGATGGCTGGAACGAAAAGTACGGTGGGTTCGGGACGGCACATCACATAGATACCCCTGGCCCCCGCGCGCTCTGATCAAAAGGATCGATTAGATGGGGAGGGAGCTTTGCGCACGTCCCCTAAACTTTTTACTTTTTTTCTTTTTTCTCCTTCCCACAGAAAGGTGCATGTACTGTGTACTGTACCTAGCAACCATCACGATCTACAATGGAGCACCCAGAATTGACTCCTGCGCGCCAATGTGAACCAGTCGCCATCGTGGGCATAGGTAGGAGGAACAACAGCTCCCCTTTCTCACTCGCGTATCGGTCTAGGTTAACTCGTGCAATGTCTTGCACCTTCAGGATGCCGCTTACCAGGACAAGCGTCCTCGCCATCCAAATTATGGGAGCTGCTCGTGCGGAACGAGACGGGCCACGGCCCCGTCCCACGCGAGCGCTACAACGCCGCAGCATACTACCACCCGGACGCCGAACGACCCGGGAGCATCAACTCGACGGGGGGATACTTCATCCAGGAGGATATCCGAGCGTTCGAGAACGCCTTCTTCGGCATCAACAACCTCGAAGCCACGTCCATGGACGCCCAGCAGCGGAAGCTCCTCGAGGTGACCTACGAGGCGTTCGAGAACGCCGGCATGCCCTTGGAGAGGGTCCAGGGCTCCAAGACCGGCGTCTACGTGGGCAACTTCACCAACGACTTCCTGAACATGCAGTACAAAGACCCCGAGTACTTCTCCCGGTACAGTGCCACCGGGTCGGGCCTGACCGTGCTGGCGAATCGCATCACCCACTGCTTCGACCTGCGCGGCCCGTCGCATGTGGTGGACACGGCGTGCTCGTCCTCCTTGTATGCCCTGCATTCGGCATGTCTGGCCCTGGAGGCCCGCGACTGTGATGCGGCCGTGGTGGCGGCCGCAAACCTTATCCAGTCGCCGGAGCAGCAGATGGTCGCCGTAAAAGCCGGCATCCTGTCGCCAGACTCCATGTGTCATACCTTTGACGAATCGGCCAACGGCTACGGTCGAGCTGAGGGGGTGTCGGCCGTCTATCTGAAGCGGCTCAGTGATGCCCTAAGAGATGGAGATCCCATTCGCTCCATCATTCGAGGCACCTCGGTCAATGGGTAAGTTCCCCAATCGCATAGTCGCCAGCCCACAATGTTTATTCCTCCATGTTTCAGGAATGGTCGAACACCAGGCATTGTCCAGCCCAGCGTGGAAGGGCAAAAGGCCGTCATTCGGGCAGCGTATCGCCGGGCAGGTCTGGATCCAGGCGACACGGACTACGTCGAGGTAAGCTTAAACTCCCGAACGCTGGGGCGTGCTGACATGCTGATAACGGATAGGCGCATGGAACCGGCACCAAGGTCGGTGATCCTATCGAAGTCGAGGCCATATCCGGGGTCTTTCATCATCACACGGGGCGGCCGACGCTCGTTGGGGGCATCAAGCCGAATCTGGGTCACAGCGAAGGAGCGAGCGGTCTCTCGAGCCTGATCAAAGTCACTCTTGCGCTCGAGAATCAGTTGCTCCCTGCGACGGTCGGGGTGAAGGCGATCAACCCCAGCATTCGAACTAAGGAATGGAACATCGATATTGTTACTGCCAACAAAGCATGGCCGGTCTCCCGCGTCCCGCGAGCCTCGGTCAACTCCTTTGGTTTTGGAGGCTCAAACAGCCACGCGATTCTGGAAGCAGTACCGACGGACCAACTTACCAGCGCCGGTGGGAACTCGCCGGTAGAGGGAAATACAGAGGACAGGCTCTATCTCTTACCTCTTTCGGCTCGGTCTGAGACCTCTCTTCGACATATGGCCAGTAACTTGGCTGATTTCGCCGCTGCTCAGTCGGGCCATCCTATTCAGATCAATGATCTGGCTTTCACGCTAAGCTGCCGTCGCTCTAGGATGGCTACTCGCGGCTTTCTTATCGAATCCCAAGCGAGTCTAAACAAAGGAGTCAATTTGGCGAACCTGAAATTGCGAGAGTCGGCCAGCGAAGGCGCACCATTGCCGTTGGTCTTCATTTACACCGGGCAGGGCGCACAATGGACTGGAATGGGGAAGGAGCTTCTGAGCCAGAACAGCGTGTTTAGAAAGACTATCGGTTATCTTGACTCGTGCCTCCAAGCTCTTGATCCTCCAGATGCGCCCGCCTGGACGCTGGAGGGCCTTTTGCGCGGTGACCAGATGTGCGATACGAGCGCGGCGGACATTTCACAGCCCCTGTGCACGGCGGTGCAAATTGCATTGACGAATCTTCTCAAAGACTGGGGTGCTCTACCAGAGATGGTAGTGGGCCACTCCTCCGGCGAAATCGGAGCGGCGTATGCGGCCGGAGCGATCGATGCCCGGCAAGCCATCCTTGCATCGTATTTCCGCGGAGCTGCTGTCGCCGATGATCCCACCGAGGGCTCCATGGCTGCCGTGGGACTTGGGAAAGATCAGGCCGCGGCGATCATCGAGGAATGTGCGTTGAGAGACTCTGTAACTGTCGCATGTGCAAACTCGCCGGAGAGCATCACCGTAAGTGGGGATACAGTGGCCGTGGATTCTCTGCTCACGGTGTTCCAAGAGAGAGGCATCTGGGCTCGAAAACTAAAGACTGGAGGCAAAGCATATCATTCGCACCATATGAAGGCTCCGGGTCCGAAATATGAGGCCTCACTCCAGCGCTACTGGGATAAGGCCACTAATGGCCACAGTAACGGGCTCGTTACTGGAGACGTCGATGGTCCGGCAACATCAGTGGTCATGATGTCCACCGTGACTGGTCGGCCGGTAACCACAAGTCAAGTCGGGACGCCCACCTACTGGCGTACAAATCTCGAATCTCCGGTGCGATTCGATGAAGCTATCAAGACCATCTTGACGAAGACTAGCTATCATCTGGTAGAACTGGGTCCGCACTCAGCGTTACAACTTCCCATCAAGCAGACTGCCTCCACCCTCGAACAATGTCGCTATACTTACGATTCCGCTCTCATTCGTGACCAAGATGCTTCGTTGACTATTCTTCAACTTGCCGGCTCACTATTTTTGCATGGGCACGATGAGCTTCGATACCGTAAGATGCTTGCCGATGAATCTCAGCCGCATGTCTTGGTTGATTTGCCTCCTTATCCTTGGGATTATAGTGCTCCCACACTGTGGTCTGAGCCTCGCGCTAGTATCGAATTCCGCCACCGCAAATATCCACGGCACGATCTCCTCGGATCCCAAGTGGTGGGGGGGAGCACCGCAGGGGTGACGTGGCGAAATATATTGAACCTGAATGAGACCGAATGGCTCACGCATCACTGTCTGGGCCCGTCAGTGGTCTTCCCTGCCGCGGCATATATTGCAATGGCCGTGGAGGCGATGTGCCAGGTTGCAGGTCTGCAGCTGGAAGATTGTCCGGGTGTAGAGCTTCGTGATCTGAACTTCATCAAGGCTCTCGATATGGACCCGGAGAGAAAGTCTACGGCGGAGATCTTCACCGAGATGCAGTCAATGAGCATTTCCAGCCTCGCAAGTTCTGACAAATGGTGGAGATTCCGTGTGCTCTCGATTGACAGTGATTCCCAGGCGACCTTGCACATGAACGCGGCCGTTCGCCTAGCGGAAAAAGCCTCGCCACGGATTACTCGAAACATCCAGCTCGACAGGTCAAACATGCAGCAAGATGCGGTCCGTGTCTGGTATGACAAGTTTACTCGAGAAGGGCTCAACTGGGGTCCCCAGTTCGCGGTCATGGAGGAGGTCTTCAGAGACCGTGCGCGCGCGGCGCACGTAGCAGCGGCCACCACACATCTTCAGCGTGGTACCCCGCTCGGTCAATACATCGCCCATCCAATTTCCATTGATGCGATGCTGCAGACGGCTTTCGTTGCAACCACTGCTGGCTGGGTGAGCAAGCTCCGAGCGACAGTCCCGG